ACAACAGGAAATTTAGGGAGAAAGGGTTAAAAGTGTTGAGTGTATATAATTGTGACATAATAAGTAAAAATTATATCTTTTGTTTTCTATTGTCATTTCTCTGGTGAGCCAGTTCAAAATGAAGATGAATCACATGCTGTTGATATTTTCAATATTGTCCCACCTACTTAGTGTATTTTAGACTCAGTGAATTAATCTTCTGTAACTATTACGCATTTTAACAATGTATTACAATTCAGAGTAGTCATTTTCTAAAGTGCCAACTTCAGAGTTTGTTTTGGCTTAATATTTGAGGTATTTTTGAATCTTTTCCATGCATCGTTTTCTTCTCCAATTTGCGAACTCTGTTTTCGTTCAATATTGCTAACACAGACAAAAGCTTCCATTTAGAATAATTGAGTAAATTGATGAGACAAGGCACAAAAAGACTTTGTTTGAAATGTAGAGTTAATTTTTGAAGAATGAGACATTAATTATTGTGGGAAATATTGTAAGAGTAATTCTCTAAGTGGGTTGAAAGTTGGATCAATAATTTAGGAAGTGCTGTCAATTTTATTCGACTCCTTTCGGACTGTAACAAGCCGGTTTCCGCCCACATCTTTAAAAAATCGGAAATCAGACTTCTAAATACCAAATATTTCACGAAAAATTATACCGTTTATTTATTGTTAACAAAATTTCTCTGTCAAAGTTGAAAAATGGATGACTAGTGACAGACATGAAACATAGCTTAATAAAAAACAATTTAACACTGTATCAGTCTCTGACAATTGTTATCTTGATTAAAATTCAACCTGTCCATAAAACATGACTAATAATTACCAAAGCATGTACTAATCTGTTATTTTCTATGTCGATACCAAGTATATAGTAAAAATGATAACTTGAAATGACAATTTATTGATAACATCGGCTTATTCGAGAATAGATTGTTTACTCAAAATTTATGGCATTTTCATATAGTTTACAGCCGGTTGTGAACATCGGCCTTGTAAATATCGGAAATTGTCTATTTCGTGACGATATTGCAAAGCCGTCTATAACCGACACCGATATAACGGTATTCTTTAAATGTTGTTGCTGAAACATTTTTTTGTGGAAAGAATTTGTGTCATGAATTTCGAAATAAGCCGTTAAGAATGACTCTAATCAAGAAGGATGTGATTTTTGCGTGAGAACATATAAAACGTGCTTTTGTTTAGTCATATACGTAAAATCCAAAACGTCGTCACGGCGGAATGATAACGTCGAAAAAACACGCAAAACACGTCGCCCACGTCGCTATTATTAGGGACAACTAACATGATATTATTGTCAAGAGAAAGTAGTCATTGTTCGTGTTTTACATAAATTATCCATATTAGGATTGTGAGAAATACGATACACTGTGGTTTGGGTTAGGAAGAGAAAGGCTTTTTACATGATGGAAAATATTTCCAATGATGCATGATGAGTTGAAACTTGCGATTATAATTTTATTTTGATAGTGTTGTTTGTTCTTTTCAAATTTAAGGAGTTTGTAACTATGCTAAACCAGATTGTATCATATCCGTTCAGAAAGTTGCAGCTTTCACTTCCCATTCACACGTTATCAAAATAATGCTTGATCGCTACATGGTGATCAGGATCCCTGGGCTTATAGGAACACTGCAAACTGATACCTGAAAATTTTACACCTTGCGATTTTTTTTCATACATTGTTGTTAAAATTTTTTTACTAGTGATATTGTATTATTTATTGAAGAATGTCTAAGCAATTGATGAATTGAATTTTTTAAATTCTGTGAAAGTTTAAAATTTGTCTTGAAACAAATAAGATATCTACTGAAATATCGTAGAAACAAAGGAAAAAACTGTTACGTTCGGTTTCCAGAGGTGAAAAATAAACGTTCTAAACATATTTTATTGCTGAGGAAAACTGTAAACAGTTCTAAAGTTTGTTAACTATACATCAAACGAAAATAGAAACTAAACGTACTTCTAATGTTAGCAACTGAAAATCACAGACAATGGAAAATACTCGCCACATTCGTATTTCAAACAATGCAACCCAAAAGCAAAGGATGCAAAATAGATAACAATTCATAACAATGGGTGTCGAGCATAATGCTTCTCGGAATAACATTCATTTGGCTAAATATAAAGTAGAAACGAATGGACGGACAACATGATTGGTCACCACTAGGGCTGGGAATTTAGGGGAAATAATTTAACCGTTAATCGGTTAAAATTGTTCCGAAGCAATGCGCGTGATCTTATCCTGGTATCGCTCGAAATTATTTACAGATCAAGATAGTTCCTTGGTCGCTCTTCTACAAGAGATATGTATAGCGTACTTCGGAAATATGGATCTTCTTCCTTTTCAAACTCGGGACGCAATCACTCTCATTAATACAAATCACGGCGCATTGAAAAGTAGATTCTACTTTATTACCGTACTACAATCATTTTTGTCATTTTTTTGGTGCTTACCAATATAGTTAGGTATATATTATTTATAATTAAACGCCACGGGAGATAAATTTGTAGTAAACTATTCTTTTATAAACATATTGTACCTGAGATGTCAGTTAACGGTCAAAATAAATCGTGACCGTTAACCACCTAAAATCGGTCAAACGGTTAACTATTTCCAGCCCCAATCACCACTTGTTCTATCACAGTAAAATAACTGTTAACTTGAATCATTTTGCCGTATTTTTCTGTGTAGCCTATATATCGTTTTCCGGAGTGAAACTATTACATATCGAACATGAGTTAAAAAAGTACCATGCATGGAATATAGATAAATAATTTCAAATTTATATCAATCTCAGCATGATGAACTATTCACATTTGCGTTGAAAAACACTTGACCAAGTGGCTAATATTTGACAAAAAAAATACCACTTTGTTGTCACTTTCCTGGGAATACAACGATCTCATTGTAATAAACTCGAGTGCAATACTTAGACGAAACTGGTATCAGGTGTTTCTATTTAGGTTGTTGGTGTCGGGTTGTGACGTAAAAGCGACAATACTAAAACTAATTAGGACTGTGAAGTGCTGCAGGATGTTTGAGCAAGCAAGTTTTACATTCCGATCATTTAGTATCATCCTATTTGAGGTTAAACTGAATTTCAAGTATTTGCGTGAAAATATTTGACCGCATTCAGCTTGAAACGAACAACGTCGAGTTGATAAAACCAAACTTCTGGCAACGCCACAAATTTTCAGAAAGACGTAACAGCCAGGTCTATTTTTATTTGTAATATCGATGAATTAATTTTCGTAATAAACCAATTTTGTTTTATCAACTTTCGAATACTCTCTCTCTGGTGGAGTCTCAATCTATAGATTTTAATATTTGGGCCGTAATATTGGCATTTTCATTTGTTGCCCATCGGGCATATATTCAAAGTCTGGAAACGTACGAAATAGAATTCCAGTCCAATGATACATTTCCAAGAATGTAAGACCATTCTTATAATCTCACGATTCGTACTATTTACGAACTGATTCTTACATCGGTCATTTTCTATAAAAATGTTGTTTAGTTTCGTAATCGCCAAACAATGCTACAACAACCGTTTGCGAATAGAGCTTAAATTGAACCCAATTTTCATTCGCTAACTTTTCTCGAAACCAAATTTTGCTCGGGCCTAGAAAATGGGTCGATGATAAACCTAAAATTGACCGTCACTTTTCCATACATGATATGTGAGTGAAATCAAATCAAGATTTTCGTTGATGGGCCGTATCAAAACACCATTTAAAAGTGTGCAATGTACAAAGTAAACAAGATGGTATGTAAGCTATAACTACAAGAGTTTTGCCAAATATTTAGTGTGTATCATACTAAATTATGTAAACAATTCTCAAACACTTTACGAGCTTGGGTGGGGTTGAGGTTTGATCAAACCTACATCCGGATCCGTTGACCCTAGATAACCAAAGTACTTTTCTCCATGTAACCCTAGGTTCCGGTATTCTGAAACAGACCTAAAACCTAAGACTTTGCTGGTTTTTAAAGGTAGTATTTCGAAATATACGCTATGCATAATTTGCTATCGTGTTAAACTTCCGATCACGCAGGAATGCCTTTGGTGTGTTCAACTTATACCTGATCTATTCTCCTTGATCCGAATCGGCGGATTCTTTTAAATAATATGAATAATAAACCATATATTTATATGGCTTAAAACAATCTCTTTTCAAGAAGGCGACAATTAGGAATGCGGGTGACAGAAGCACGAGTTCCAGAGGGAAAAACTATCGTGTTATCAATTGATACGAGGGCGATGCGAAAATATATGGTCACGTCCACCTTCATGTCAACAATATGTTAAAAGACTTCTACCGAATGCCGTATGTCATAAGAGTGTATACCCGTGAATTATCACAATTACTGTTTCCAATAAATGTTCAGCCTTAACATGGAGCACGCCTTTGGGTGAAAACTGGTCCGTTCACCTTCAAACTTGTCATGGGCTATTTTTGTCCAGTTGAGAAATTTGATAATTGGATACTTTCTCACAAACGATGAAATGACAAATAGTAATCCTATGCGGGAGCGGTTTAATGACGAATTCGTGCCCTATTCCTCTGTTTCTTATGCTACTTTCTGTTAGGAGTTTGAAGTTGCCGATTTGTAGTTGATGATTTGCGACTTGTTTGGACGACTCCGATCAAGCGACCAGAGGAGGCAACCGCGATAAAAACGCCCAATTATACGCCGTTCACTACAATGCTGCGGGCGCTCCAGAAGTGTTTGTACCCATATGGAGGTAACTTAATTTGTTAGCCTACTTCACATCAAGGTATGTAAAGCGACTGAAACCTATGGACAAGGCCACAGGGGGGATATTCACTCGGCTAACACAGACAGTCACCAAACTCGTAATAGAACTAAAATAAAGAAAAATATGAATAAAATCATGGCCTAACCCTAACATGGTACACATACTAAGGGAGTACCGTGAATTAAAAATTGTTGACAAGACCAAATGAAAACAACTATATACCTTCATTATTCATTGCAAGTTTATTTGAAAAGAAAAAATTGACAGACTTGCATCAATATGGCCGAAGAATCTGAAAGTGATGACAATATGACCACATGAAATTGACAAAATGGAAATTAACACTTGTCGTCATAAGACCGTAACGCAACTTTATTATTTACTGATAATGTATATTCGACTCGAATTCGTACTAATTCGCTCTGAACGGGATTCGAAATTGATTTTTGTAAACTTCGGACAATCAAAAATTTTACTTTTGTTTAAAATATCCCTTCCTTACGTGTTATTATTTGCAAAGCTGTGTTCCAGACCAGACTATCTAAATATGGACAGTCGAAATTTTTTTAATTTTTTTTTGTTTGTGATATTATGATAGTTTCTTTTACAAGAGAACGATCAATAGATTTATAAATTGTTTTACAAGAAACTGTTCGTTCATCATAATAGACAATAGCCATATGGTGTTTTATAGATATAATATAGATTATAGACCACGAACGAGTCAGGTCTAGGCTGATATATGACTTGCAACTATATTTTTTCCATTTCTTTTTTTTCGGCTAATCCTTTGTTCACTAAGTCGGCAAAAACTTCATTGGCAATTCGTCGGTTTGACGAAGTTGAGTTTCACAAAAAGTCTTTTATGTATACAGTTTGTCGAACAGCGTTTGAGAATCCTTCGTTAAATTTATACCAGATTTGACTGTTTCCGATTCCAGGGTCACGAATGGCAGGTTCTCGAGGTTTATCTGGAAAACAAATACGAAACGTTACCATCACATCGTGTTTTAGGTGCGCAGTAGTTTATGGTAAAATCATGTACAGTCAAGCATGTGGCGTCCTCTATTTTCAACGAATTTCACAAATTTGATAAAAAGAAACTTGCAAAATACGGTGTAAATATCATTTGTTGGTCTGTAGCGATACCGATATCGGACGTGCATTCAGGGTGTCATTTTAAACAATGTTAGGTTTTGATATACAACAATCACAACTCAAAAAATAGTTCTGATGGGCTTTGAATTACCAAGGTTCGTTTGAATACACCATTTTTTTTTATATTTTAAAATATATTGATTTGGCGCTAGAAAATCGCCATTGCAGTGTAGCCAACATGACAGGTACTGTGAACAGTACAGTGACAACATGCAAATTAAAAAAAAAAAACTCCGGTCAACTCTCCCGAACATACTGTTAATTGCGTTATTCTAAAAAATTACGAGTTTTTAGTAGTGTGTATGCAATACTACATACAATTTGAGTCCCAGTCGTTGTCAAAATAGTAAAAATACAGATTGGTAATTGTGGCACATACGCTCTTATATTGCATTTGAAAAATACCTCGAAAATGGTCGTGATATGGATACTTGATAATAATACCACAACATACGACGGAAACCAATGGTATAACAACTGAAAAAACAGCGGGAGGTCCTGATAAACAAAACTGCGTGTTACCGCATCAACACAGATTCGCACGCAAATGTCTGATTTTTTCGAGAAAGTGACCCGGCGGCGGGACAAGGTGAATAAGTAACCGAAGCCTCGGCGCGACGCACGTCTACAACCACGCAAAATTGAAAATATTTTGACGAAATTTAAAATAAACATACGTCTTATTTAAAATACCCGCATGTCTATTTGATAAGATGGTTCCATTATCTTTGAACCCGCGTACATTTGAACCCGTACATCTGAACCCGTAATTTGAACCCAGGACAATTGCACCTGTATACTATTGCACCTATGGACATTTGCACCTACGGACATTTGAACCCATACATTTCCACCCATGGATTTTAGCACCCGCATATAGATTGAACCCGCGGACATTTGAACCCGTGTACGTTTGCACCCGCGTACATTTGAACCCATGTACATTTGCACCCGCGGACATTTGAACCCGTGTACGTTTGCACCCGCGTACATTTGAACCCATGTACATTTGCACCCGCGGACATTTGAACCCACGAACATTTGCACCCGCGGACATTTGAACCCATGTATATTTCCACCCACAGACATTTGAACCCACGTATATTTGAACCCGCGTACATTGAACCCACGGACATTTGAACCCGCGTATATTTGAACCAACGTATATTATATTTGAACTCGCTTAATTTGAACCCGCGTACATTTGAACCCACGTACATTTTCACAAAAAATGTTTGCCCCAACGGCAATTTCCAGTCGCAAATAATTTTCATGTTACAGGCGCAAGCTCAATATTCTAAATTTCAACACTGTTTCACTTGTAGTTAATTTTGGTGTATATGCATTTATCCGCTTCTACGAAGCAAGCATTTTTGAGTGTCATTGTAGTCCGAGGGATAAACGTCTCTTAACGATATAAACAACATTGTTCTGCCAACATTTTTTCTTTTGCTGTTTTTTTACATTGACATTTGTAAAACCTTATTTCATTCGTTAGCCGCGATCTCCAAAACAGACGATGACCTAGAAAGCGGTATTTCGTTGAAATACCTGAAACCAGGGCTAATACGGAACAAATATCTCACAGACCAATGAAGTCTTAAATGAGGGTCTTACTAAAACTAGCTTTACAGTAATATTTTTAGTGGTCAACTCCTATAAATTTGTTCTGAAATTATTGCACCGAAAACGCCTACTATGATATCCCGCCCAGCATGAGATTTGGGAGCTCTGTGGCCACTTCATGTTTTCTTGCTAGCATGTTTACAAAATTGTTATATGTATGCATACACGACCACGCTTTACTGTTGAAAATGAGTGTTGTCTCAAATCAGGTTTTGACATTTTTCCTAAAATCAATCTATAAATTGAATACTATTGTCTGTATATAAATAAATAAACTCACAGATTCTTCGTTTCTAAGAAAATATGAAATTAAGATAATGAAACTATGCCATTTTTGTAACAACATGTTCATAGCCAAATGCCAGTTTTATTGAAGTATTGTTTCATTAGAATGTCAGAACAAAACTATACATAGAAATCGTAAGTCATGTAAATATGTTGAATATTCGAAAGTGAAGAAGTTTTAAAATCATTATCGTGGCCAAAAATGTTTTTTGCTGTTTACACTATTTAGAGTGAATCGAACATATTCAGCATATAGGGTCTGTTAAATATGATATTGCAATTTACAAATGACGTCATAGGTTACGGATTACATTTATTTTAATATCTCAATAAAGTTATCACTCACAAATTTGTGTCGAATGGGCGATCAATTTTGAGATAGAGTAGCTATGGACGTTTTACAAAATAGGAATTTATCAATTATGATACAATAGTTAAACAACAAATCAAAGTAATGACGATAAACGAAATTTTACGATATCACGATCAAAATCAAAAAGACTGCATTTGAGCTATTGAGTGGAGATACCTCAGCTTGTCGGTTTCAGTTCCATATGAAAAAACTTAACTGTCAACCTAACGGCAAGTTGTACATACTTTGATCTTTGGTGGGCCGTAACTCCTACATGAGCATTTGCCGCAATCAGTTTGTGGACCGCAATGTCTTTTCGTAGGCCATTCAGCAAACCCCATATATATACTCGGATGTTTGCATCGGAACATTCCTTGTAAGGCGTTGTGAAATCCTTCTACAGCGTTTGTTGTTCTTGGGGCCGAAGGCACCATTTCAATCTCTTTGGCATAGTTCCACAATCGAGGGGAAAATCTTGTTTCTCTTGGACGTGAACCCACTTGAGGTCCACGAATGTAGGTAGATTCAAAATATTGCAAAAGTTGATTGCATTCGGGCAAATCTTCAAAGGTGTCGCAAAGCAAGGGGAAGACTTCGGCAACCTCGTTAATGATGGGAACAAAAGCCAGAGCTGCCAAACTTCTAATTTTCAGATTGAAAGAAGGTAAACATTCAAACTTCTCTTTTAATCCGATAGAACCAACTTTTCGAAATAGCTTGTGACAGGTGAAAATAACATTCTTTAAAATCGGCCAGAGGAAAATGTGCATGGAATGCATTGATAGCTGCTATTTCAAAATCAACAATGATTTTGGTGGGGTTAGCATTTGGGAAAATGATTTTCAACGCTTCCAACATCTGAACGTATGTTTCTTGTCGCTTGTCTCGTAATAGGAAATATACGCATGGTGGATAGGATGCGCCCACTTTACAGTGAATTGTATACAACTGGAAGAAAATATCGGGCACCACATCAAATGTACCGTCGCCAAGATATGGGTCACTATCTAGATGTGCAAGTAGTGATCGATCTCCAATGGCCATTATCCGATGACGATCCTCCGAGCCAGTGTCATGCAAAATGATATCTAAATATTCGCTCGGAATATCAAAGCTTGCACTTTTAGGATTCGTACGTGAACAATTTTTCTGTCGCCTTACTCTGCGTATATTGGCCTCCAGAGTCGACTTGCCTGGCAAGCGCATTACTACATCTGTTGATCTATTATTCAATACTTCACCTAAAATATATCTTGTCGATGTATTTGATGGTGTTGATGCTGCTTCTTTTAATGTTGCACGGATGATCCCAACTTCAGTCTTAATGCTGTCGCCAGAATGACTGTGATATCCTAGTTCTTTTATTACATTTTCAACGATTGTAACAACAGTCGATTTACATCGAAATTTCCTAAACTGACGGCAGCGCCAATGAGTAGCATCTGAAACCCGATCATTTCGCTTACAATATTCGTGGCCTTTGTAAATCAGTAAGTCGTTTCCTCTTGTGGTCTTGGAAAATGTAGGCGCCATGTTTCCGACTTATTTTCGCAAAGGGACTTGTCATCTTCGCAGCTGCAACGTCCTAAAGAAACAGTTTGGAATTGTCTGCGAGGGGAAAAGGGCATTGATGCGTGGAAAAACTTTGCGCGGGATCGAACTAACACATCAATTAAAATCCTTGCTCGCGCTCTTCAAGAGTCGTCGACCGTTCAAAGCACAAATCATACTCCCCAATTTTGGCTCGCATACTACAGCGGAACATTTTGTCCATTGAGTCTTATGATATCGACAATTGCGATGACAATGACAGACGGAGTATAATATAAATATATAATATAAATTAAATATATAGAAAATAGTTGTAATGAAGCCTTCGAGTATATAATCGAGAATTCCATGGTGTTTTCGCAACGTATGCATTTGGACAAAAAATCCTAAGTGTACCTTCCAATCCTATATACTATAGTATATACTATATAGCATGGAAGGATAAGGGTGTATATGTAAAGACGCATATATCCGTAAATGCAAATGCCCATGGGTGTAGATGTTCATGGATGCAAATGTCTGTGGGTACAATTGTACGCGGGTGTAAATGTATGTAGGTTCAAATGTACGCGGGTTCAAATGTACGTGGGTTCAAATGTCCGTGGGTGCAATTGTACATGGGTTCAAATGTCCGCGGGTGCAAATGTTCGTGGGTTCAAATGTACATGGGTTCAAATGTCCGCGGGTGCAAATGTACATGGGTTCAAATGTACGCGGGTGCAAACGTCCACGGGTTCAAATGTCCGCGGGTGCAAATGTACATGGGTCCAAATGTACGCGGGTGCAAACGTACACGGGTTCAAATGTCCGCGGGTTCAATCTATATGCGGGTGCTAAAATCCATGGGTGGAAATGTATGGGTTCAAATGTCCGTAGGTGCAAATGTCCATAGGTGCAATAGTATACAGGTGCAATTGTCCTGGGTTCAAATTACGGGTTCAGATGTACGGGTTCAAATGTACGTAGGTGCAAATGTGCTGTCACCGATAAGATGTGTGC